TGGGTCTCCGCCGAGGGGGATGAATTTGAAGTCTCCGTCGGGGACAGGTCGGAGAAGATCATGTTCGCCATTAGGTTCCTTGAGTTCATCTTTAGCGAAGTGGGTGTCGAGGTCAGTGGAGTCGACCTTCGGTGGAGCTCGTTGTTCTTCAACTTGAGCATATTTATCTGCCAATGGAGCCACTATTATCGAGGAGGTCGTTTTGTTGGTCAGTCGTGTGCCAGTGTCGACTATTTTCTACTCTTTAGAAGCCGCATTGAAACATCTCCTGGCCGCTGTGATGTGTCCATTGATGGTGGCGACGCAAGCCCTCTTGGTGTAGAAATTAACCTTCAAGTGCACCGTGAAGGGTACATCGGTCAGCTCGGCCAATGTTGGTCTCCCCAGGATGCAGTTGTAGAGAGAGGGGAAATCGATCACCAAAAAACACACTTTGACCTGTCGAGATACGGTTTCTTCCTGGAACGTAATGAACAACTCGACATAACCCCATGACTTGGAGGTTGAACCGTTGAACCCTTGCATGTCGGACCCCATTTATGGTGACAGATGAGAATTGTCGAGCTGCAGGGTGTGGAACAGATGGGTGTACGTCACGTCGACAGAACTCCCCTTGTCGACCAGGATGCGGTGTACATCAAAGTTGTCCATCTCCGCCCTTACGAGCAGAGGGAAGTTGGAGTTGGGGGCTCCGTCGGATAACTCCTCGAGATAGAAGATGATTGGCTCAGATTTTTCCTTGAAATTTTCAAGAGTTAGAGCTTGGACTGGGGTTGCATCTATCAGCTTGCTGAATTTCCTCTTCGCTGAATTAACCGAGACATCACTAAATCCCCTGCCAGATATTACCATGGTAGAGGGGAATTTCTCCCATCTACTGTGGGTGAACACGAGTTCATCGTCTTCGAAGCCGTCGGGGATGCAGAAGTCCTCGGGCCTAGAGACACAGAATGCGACTTGGAGGGGCTAGATTCATTGGGTGGTCGAGCATCCTCTTCAACTTCTTTCACCTTGCATGCATCCCAGCGAGGGGCGTCGTTCCGCTTGTACTTCCCGAGTCTCCCTGCTTTATTGAGAGTTTCGATGGCGTCTTTCAAGTGGACGCAGTCTTCGGTCAGGTGACCGTGGCTCCGATGGTATTGACATTATTTTATCCTGTTCGCCCCAGGCTTAGCAAGAGTAGGTCGAGGGTGCCTGACCCTTCCATCCTTGAATTCAGCATTGGCGCACTCCGCAAGGATACGCTTGCGGGAAGCGGTCAACAGGGTGTATTCGATGAATCACCCAACTGGTCTTTTGTTCTCGCGGGAATAACGAGGCTTCTTCTCCCTTCTCTTATCCCCTGTTCGTCAATAAGGGACCATGTCGCTTTGTCGTGTGATGTCGATTTGGTCTATGGTTCCTTGAATCACGGGCGTTGTTGGTGGCCTCCTTTTCCTAATATGTCATGTAGGCCCGAGCTTTGTCGAGGAGTGCATCGAAAGATCAAGGAGGCTCGATGTTGACTGCCTTTCTGAACTCAGTGACCGGGAGGAGTCCCCTCTCGAGCAGGTACCTCTTCATGTGATCGGTGTAGGGGACGTGAATGGCCTCGCGGTTGAACCGGTCGATGTACTCCCTGAGAGTCTCCTCGCTCCTCTGGATGATTGCTTCGAGGGCGGCCTCAATTTAGGGTGTCGGCGAGACGGTGTGAAGCTGCTAGAAAATTGGTTCTTTAGACTTTTCCATGAGGTGATCGATCTGGGAAAGGCTTTTATACCAGTCCATGGTTGCTTTTCTGAGTGTCGTAGGGAACAACCTTCACTTGATAGGACCCCCGACATTGTGATAATGGAGCATCGCCTCGAAGTCGTCGAGGTGGTCGACATGGTCTGTAACACTATCATACTACTTCAGAAAGGTAGGCTTCTCCATCCCCTTAGGAATAAGAGCATCCATAATGGCCTGAGACAATGGACCGCGGGGGTCGTCTTCGTCGCTCTATTCTGGGGAGCGAGAGGGGGACCGGTTGTAGCGACGGTCTTTGTGTCGGTCTTGGAAACGAGGAAGATTATGCGGTTGAGTCTTCTTTTCTTTGTCGCCCTTGTTCCTTTTATATTTAGGGGATCATCGTTCCTTGCGCAGGGGAGTGTAATCACGCTTCTTGACAGCTTCAAGTTGGGTCCTCTCCAATGCAGGGCTTCGCCCAGTGCGACGGGGAGAAGGGCTTCGAGAATTGTCCTGTCTGTGTCTCTGCGGGGGAGATCGGGAGCGATCCTCATGTCGTCAGGAAGGAGGGGTTCGTGACTCGGGTCTTCGGTGCTTTTTGGGGGACCGGCGGGTTTGTTCCAACATCATCAGGCGTTCACTCTACACGATGATCATGTAGTTTGTTTGGTTGATCGCCGCGAACAAGACCTTAGTCGTAGGATCAACATTCTCAGGAACGAGGATCTCCTGATACACAGCGAGTTCGTAGTTTGGCCGGGGAGGGTCGGCATTTTCGTGAGGTTGTGACCGGGTGAAAGAGGACGCGGTCAGCCCATCCCTGATGTCGAGCTTGTGACTTCCAACATCACTGTTGTTGCCAGGGTCGGTGAAATTAACATTCTGGTCACCGTTGTTGACTTGGTCAGCCATGACGATCAGAAGGTTGAGAGAGTTGCTTTGGTCTTAGGTAAGTGAAAGACGAGGAAGCTAGTTTCCCACAGACGGCGCCACTGATCGTACCTGATCAGAAGGAATCATCTCTGATTCACGAGCTTGAGTTGAACGACATTTGTTGAGTGAAGTGAATGGGGGTGTACCTGTAAAGTACTTCAATGTCAAAGTAAGAACGAGAGCAATCAGAGTGCGAGTACTATAATAAGAGTGAGTGAATGAATACCTGACTCTGTCATATGTGAGGGTATTTATAGTCCTCAGCGTTGGGCCAAGGTCTTCAGTGTTTGGCCATGATAAGACCCAATAATGAAGACTGTCAAGATTACGTGGATATGAAGTCCAGCATGCGGCCTCCTCCCTGGTCAACTATCTCAAAAAAATAGGGAAGTTGGATCCGTTATTCTCGGAGGGCAAGTTGGTGGCGATTATGGGCACTTGCAAGTCACGTTTCCTTAGTGGACACGTGGAGAAGTGTCAAACGGTCATTGGTTTGAACTGCATGCTTTTGGACGTTTGTAGAGGTGCTGGATTGGATCTCCTCAACGGTGGGACAAGTGTCGGCTCAATATATATATATATATATATATATATATATATATATATATATATATATATATATATATATATATATATATATATATATATATATATATATATATATATATATATATATATATATATATATATATATATATATATATATATATATATATATATATATATTAGAAAATTATTTATCTAAGATAAATTTGTTTATATTAAATCTGACTTGTATCAATCGAATCAGAGTGTGAAGGTGATTCAAATCATGAGTTTTTCATTTTGAATTTCAAATATGTATTGTTTGATTCAAATCATATTTTAAAAATGATCTGAATCAAGTCAATCGATTGACTCGGTCTTATAATTTAATTCAAATCATTGTAAAGTTCATTTGATTCATATAAAGTTCATTAGAATCATATACATTGTTTAATAAAGGATTTTGTCACTGGCATGTTTTATTCGTATTACATTTAAGATCAATCGAATATTATGATTCGAATCATACCTTGTGTCATTTGAACTATGTTATCTAGGTTCAAACATTTTTTTAGCATTGATACAAATAATTTGTATCAGATTACAAATGATTTGACTTATCTGTAGGAAATTTCAAAATATGTTTGTGAAGATGATTGTAAATGTTTTTTAATGTTAATTTGAATTATACATTTAAAAAAAAAAAATTGTAAGTCATACATTCTTCAAAAATTTCAATTGAAAATATTAAAGACCTAAAGAAAAAAGATTTTAGAAATTTTTTCCTTGTGTAAGGATTGGCTTAGAGGAATTTTTGGTTCAAGAGTTCATGTCAGTACATAGGTTCAACTCAAGATCAAAGAAACCAATATGCTTGAATTGTGTGAGGAATCAAGGAGACTGAAGAAGATTATGGTGAATCTCAAAGAAAGAAAATTTGAGGGGTTCAAGAGTTATTGTTGTAAGAAAGTTGTGAATGTAGAACTTGATTTTCTTTGAGGAATTTTTTAGACATGGTGTTTTAAAATAAAATAAAAACCTTTATTGAGTTCAGAAAAATTGGTTTAAAGTAGAGAAAGTATCTTATTGCCTTAATTCACAATTCACTCATCTAAGTTGCTCCAAGAGTTGTTGAAAAAAATCATCAACACAAATAAATTATCCACATCAAGACAATTCAGCTGTGGCATTAAGCACCTAATCCAACCTAATGCATTGCTTTGCATATCTAACTTGTGAAGATAGTCATTCACTCACAATTTAGTCAAACATGATAGTAAATGTTTGCACACTCCAAAATAGACTTTGAAGGTTGCAATTTTTCATCCAAAAAGACTTTTATCATATAGTACAAAACATAAGGCTCTAGTCAATACCACTTTTACACGTATAAGAATCTGCATTGCAAGAGTTGTAAATATATAATTTAGAGTTGATAAACATTTGGTAGTCACAGCAGAAAATGAGGGTGAAAAATTCATAGATGAGTTTTACATGAAAATTTATATTCAAACCTTGTTCTTGAATTTTTCACCCTCAATTTTATGTGAATACCAAACTGACCCTGAGTCTTCTTTATGTTATACATTGTTTGCAGCAACATAAAACAAAAGGCTAATAATAAACCATGGGACATGGCGAAAAGCCTACTACATTTTCAAAATGTAACAGTTGTATATCAATGTATGATATATTATCACCTCTCGTGAGGAAGGGTTTGAGATGGAATGCGGCTTTGAACTGCACTATGGTGTTCTGGTAAGATTTGGCCCACCTTTCATGTATACGACGATCGTGACAAAACTCCTAGTAGGTTTTTCAGCACTACGCAACCTTTAAGCTTGAAGAACCTGAGAGTGAACTATGTGAGTTTTGAGCCGGTTTCTACCAGCAAGGCTAGATAACAGGTTTGTGAACAAGGTTTTGAACTGTCCTTTCCCTGCAATAGTTTCCCATAACTGTTCAGCAGAAGATCCTTTCAAATCTTCTAGTTTAGAAACATCAACAAGAGAAATGCTCATATTGTTCCGGATAATACAGAGTTTCCCGTTGAGGGGGACGAGGGCTGCAGCCTCCAAAGCCCGTGAGCTTCCCAAATGCATTCTACTGTCAATATGCTTGCTCCACGAATCCGTAGCATCGTCATAAACCCTAAGTTTGCAGCCATCTTTGCAGTCTAAAGCATAAAGCTTTCCGTTAAGAGTAGTGCTAGGGTTCCTCCAGCCAGAAACCATTCCGTTTTGAACAGGGCACCAACTATCGTTCTCTGGCTGATAGACCTCGCTAAGAACCTGTCGATGAGAACCAAGTCCCTTAAGGAACCACTTCCCGTCATAGACAACTCCGATGAAAGGAACCATTGCAGTGCTCATATCTGAAATAAATGACCATCGGTTTTTGTTTGGATCAAAAACTTCAGCTGATCTCAAGGACCGATGCACACCTTCATTCTCCCCACCAGCCACAAACAGACAATTGTTTATAACACAGGAGCCAAAAAAGTGCCGCCTACGAAGCATATCCGGGGCACGGTGCCATTTATTTGTTCTAGTACTATAAAAAATAACACGTCTCATGGATCCCTTAAGAGGGTCCTTCCCACCAAACAAGTATAGGTGGCAGCCATTCAGAACAGCACATCCAAAACCAAGAGCTCCGGAATATTCTTTAGGAACAGGAGGCAGGGGCTGCCATTGTTGGTATACAGGATCAAAAGCATGCCATGAGATTTTCCCGTCTCGGTCTCTCTTAATGACGTATATCCACTCTTCCGCAAGTCTAAGACTCTTGCGCAGTGAGTAAAAGAAATTACCAACCAAAAGTCGATACCATCTTTTGCAAACTAGCCTAAGTTTACGGTGTTCAACACGAGGGACTCGGATTAGGCAAGCAATAGCAAGATCATCCGGGAGTCCTGGTAGTAACGGGGATTGATTGCGGCTTCTGTCACCACGTGCTGGCTTGTTTCTAGTAGGGTGAATAGACGGTTTTATGTCAGGCCGTAGACACAGCTTGGTTCCAGGAACATACTTCTTTGCTCCAGCAACAGTTCTGAGGCCTGTATCTACTCTACATAAACACGCACTAGTATCAACCTGCACACACATGAAGTTAATCAAGTTATGATTTATGAATTCAAACACGTGATATAATCGATATCTCACCATTTTAAACAAACGAAACCAAAGAACCAAGAATCAGATATTGAACCTATAGGAACATGAATCTCAGCAATTCAAAGAAATTGACACAGATATTGAACCTGGCCCTCATTTCAGTGAGGTTCAAATACCAAAGACAGAGCACAACAGACTAACAGAAGAAAAGTTCAACGAGTAATAGCATTCAAATCTCAACACCTTATAACAACCAGCTTATTCAATATCAATCCCTAAAACCCTCCCTTCATCCCCCACAGGCTCATAAATAAATCTAAAGCTCTTTTGAAACAACACATTAGGAAAAGTAAAACTCAACAATTAGATGAGTAAAGGGATTAAGAAAATTACCAAAGGAGGTTGAAGAACTCTATCCATTTTCCAAAGCTTCAATGGTTCAAGCACCTGAAAAATCAAGTCTTTATCACTCAAACACCATATCCAACGCAAAATTAGAGAGAATCAAGCTTCATAAACCAACCCTTAATTGGAATTTCACAAAGGAATTTGAGCTACACTTTCCAACTCAAACAACATGATGAAAGAAAACCCAAACTGAAAATTGGCAAAGAATCAAGTAAAATAAAATGCCCTAAATGTTATCTAGTGAGAAGAAAAAGGTAAAATGCGAGACAGCACAAAATTGGAAGAAAGGGTAAGCACTGAAAGAGGTAAAGATGGTGTTTTGATAGTTAGGATGAAATTTCAGTGGAGTTTAGGGCCCATGGCCTGAAGGGCACAAGGTACCAAGAATAAGAAGAGGAGAGATTGTACAAGTAGAAGAGATGGTAAAAATGGAAAATTGAAAAGAAAAAAGAGATGAAAATGGTGATTGGAAGGGATTGAGGAAAAGCAACAACATTTGACAAGTTGGGATTTTGGAAGATAGTGTTTTGTTTTTTGTTTCGAGAGTCAAAACATTGAAATACAACAACTACTAAAACTCACTGGTGTTTGAGTTGAGTTGAATATTACTGCAAAACAGTAACAAAAACAAGGGAAGACTAAATTATATATAAAATGCATATATTAGGAGATTAATTAATGTTTCTAGATGGAATTTAAGAACTTCATGGGTTTGGTTTCTATTCATCATGTACAAAGTGTGTATGCTCTCATTGCAAATTTACTACATGTCCTACCAATGGAGACAAAAAGGGAAAGTCACCTCTTTATTTTTTTTTTTTATCTATGAATTGTATTTACCTTTTCTATAGAAGAATCACATTTACCTTTTTTTTTTATTCATCATCTCCTCCAATGATATTTTGCTCAAGGAATAATGGAATTATAGATGAAGTACATGGCACTAATAATACTATAGCTACCTTTTGGCTCATTAGTAAGAGGATTGTGACGTCATATCATCTACAAAATTGATTGGGTTTCATTGATGAAGTTTATTCATTAAGAAATTAATTTAAGATTATGCTAATTTGTGCTATAAGACTTTGTTCAAGAATTTAAAGGAGAATTTGAAGGGGCTTTCGAAAGAAATGATTATAAAAAATAAAATAAAAAATAATTAGTTATGAAAAAAGTATTTTTTTTATTAAAATGATAAATTGATATTTATTATTAATATATTTATAATATTTAAATTATAACAAAATAAATTGTTTTAATGGAAAATAAATTTTCATTAAAGACGAATCGTTCAAAGCTTTAAACACTATTTGAATTTTAATTTTAATAGAAATAAAATATGATCAGTGAGTTAGCTCTCTGAACTATAAAATCATATTAATTGATTCATTATATAAATCAAAATTGATTGACTAAATTAAAAAAAATCAAATATTATGAAAAATAATAACCTTTTAAAACCGTCTAATCTCAATTATCATTTTTTAAAAATCTTCTTATTTGAACTCTTTAACAAAATTTAAAAATTTAAAAATATTAAATTTTGTGAAAAAAATAAATTTTAAACTTCTAAAGAAGTCAATACACAAATTACAAAGCAGAATTTTTACATTTAATTTTTTAATTTGTGTTCTTAAGAGACGACAAATTATTATTTTCTTTAATTTATATTGATAAATTTAGTTTATATCAATAAAAAAAGAGTATTTACTATTAAAAATATTATATTTATTAATAAAAATTTATCTCGGTTTTTCATTGGAATTGAACGTTTTTTAAATTTAAATTTTTAATTTAAAAATATAAACTTTGACATTTAATCGAAAGAAAATGTTGTTAGATGCGATTTCAAATTCCAACTCTTCCAATTTTTATTTTTTTTTATAAAGTATAAGTTTTACTTAAGGCATTTTTGTTTTAAACTTATCTATTATTTTTTAACTTAACATCTTTTTAAAAAAAATATATCTACTCTTTCAGTTGAATATTCAATCAAGAGAAAATATTAATTATTTATGGGATGGATATAGGTCAGACAGACTAATAGAGACTTACGATTCGGTATACACAGATTCAGGCTAGTTCAATTTTTTTTTAAATAGAAAAATTTTAAATTTTTTATAAGCCTATTTAGTTAAATAAAATTAGGTCTTAGACTATAAAAAAGTCTTTTAAATATATTAGACTGACCTATTTAAACAAATATAAATAAATTTTTTTTAATTATCATTATATTATGTTTTATACTTTGAATTAAAATACATAAATAAAACTTGGTGGTTATCTTGGAGAAATTGTGAAAATAAGATGAAAACACCTTATGAATATTGTCATAAGTTATTTTCATAAGTTCTCTTAAACAAATAGTCTCACAAAACTTATACTAATAGGTCTTTTAGTTTGTTAGTCTATTTAAATATTATTTGAATTGCTTATTTACACATATTTAAAATAAATAGGTTTTTATGTAGGCTAATAAGTTAACGAGATATTCGAAAAGGTCAGACTCAGGTCTAAAAATAAACCTATGACAAGCTACAAATCAGACTTAGGCTTCAATTTTTTTGACATATCAGACATAGACTTGGCAAAACCTAGTTGGGCACATCCTATTTCCACCCCCTAGTTTTATCTTCTTCTTTTTTTAATTTATCTATTCTCTTTGTTGGATTGCCCAACCAAAAGGAAATATATTTTGCATGTATTTCTCAGAACTAAACTTAATTATTCATTTATTTTTCAACTTTCATTTATCTTCATTCTCTTGCAAAACCAAACAATTTTTTTCCACAAAAATATAGCATAAGAGTTTTTCATCTTCGTCTTCTCCTTCTAAACGCCCTAACATCTAAAATCATATTCCATAATCGTTTTTGAAACTTCATCCCTTCTAACACATGTAAATGTTCGAACGTTAACTTTTTAAACAAACGTGTGTTTCCTCTCTTCGAACTCCATAACACCATTGAAGCTCAAGTGTATATTGAAACGAAAGAAAGAGAATCAAACATCAACGAAGTTTCCTCCATGATTGTTTATCTTCTTCATCCCATATTCAATACATAACTCATTCACTTTATCCATGCATATTACTTAGAAATATTAGCTTTTGTTGTGTGGATTATGTTATTCTTATTATGTTGATAAAAATAGAAATAGGTTTTTTACTTTTTTGTGTTGATGTTGACAAAAATCCATATGTACTATGTGTAACCCGGGGGGAGAACTGACTTGGTTGTTTTGCGTTTTATCGCAAATATTACAGTTAGCAAGAGTCGCCACCGACTTTTCTTTTATCCAAAAGGAAAGGCTGAAAAGAACAGGAAAGATCTTTAGAGATGTTTTCTTGAGTTCGGGGGGTAGATTATGAAAAGGGAAGGTATTAGCACCCTTTTCATCCGTAGTTATCTACGGGCTCTTAGTTGCTTGCTAGATCACTTGCTTTTGTTTGAAAATATGCTTTGTGTGGTTTTTTTAAAGTATTTTGAAAAGGCGCAATTGGTTAGGCAAACTTTGTAATAATTCTCGTTCGTAAGAATGTATACAAAGTGTTGATCTTTTGAAAATGTTTCAAGTTTGAAAGATGTTTTGAAAGTGTTGGTGTTTGTTTTGAAAATAGCAAGGATGTTTTGGTTTGAAAATGATCAAGCAACTAAGAACATTCTACCTACTCAAAAGTCTTTCTTGTTTATTTCCTATTTCCTTGGACATTGTTATTTTACCATTGATTGGTAAGTAACATTATCTTTGGATCTAAAAGGGACGGGCATGAGTCATTGTATAGCCATGATTAACAATGTTGTAAGATATCTTAGCATTTTCTTTAAGGGACTAAGATCATTTTTGAATGGCAACTTTGATAGCGTCATCGAAGGACTATGATCTTGTATTTTTTTATTGCTTTTGCTAAGATACCCCACATACATAATATGGTCATTTTCATAAGGCAACAAAGTGGATTTATCCTAAGGGTGTAAGTGTGCAAGTGTATTGATTTACATGCATTGTTTTGTCTTTGAATTAGGGTTTTCTAAGCATTGATTTTAATCTTTCCATACAAACCCTAATTTACTAGCATAAAGCATTAAATTGCGGAAAATAAAAATACTAAGCTATTACATCATTATGGGAGGAGGTGTACAAATTTAGAAATGGGAAAATTATAAGAAAATTAAATCTAAATAATTATTGCAACCATATTGAATATTGTACAAAATTAAAAATAAAAATGCAAGAATGTAAATGGAAAAAGAAATGATTTTGTTTGTTCTTTATGAAAGGGTTTAGTCTTGACCTAATTAAAAAATGATTAATGAAAATTAAATAAAAATAACTTAACCTAAATAAGAAAAGAAATTACCTAAAAAAAGATTTTTTTTAGGGTTTTATTTATGAAAAAGTTTTAAATTAATAAAAATAATATGAATATTAATTAATTAAAAGAAACCTAAGTTATAAATTGATTTTAATTGCAAGAAAATAATATAATAGTTAAACCTAAACCTAAATATTAATTATTAAGAAAGAAATTAATTTATTAATAAAATATTTTTGTTCTTTTAGTTTTATAAAACAAATAAACTAAATAAGTATAAAAATAATAAATAAAATATTTTTGGTATTTTTATTAATAACAATAAAAATAATAATAATAATAATAATAATAATAATAATAATAATAATAATAATAATAATAAAGGAAAAAGAAATAAAATAAAATAAGAAAAAGAAAAAGAAAATAATAATGAAAATTGGGCCAGGGGTGCTGAAGTAAGGCAGGGGTTAGTAAAAGAAAAAAGATAGTCAGACCCAAGTTGGAGGCTCCACACATGTTCAAACAAAAAAGGAAAACAGAAAAATGTGAGAAAAAAAAACAAAACGGACATTGGGGCTTGAACCCAGGTGCGCGCTTTAACCACTGGTGTGGTGATACATCCGTTAACATTGGCACAACAATAAATACATAACACATATTTTTCCCTGATTGTACTTCATCTTCAACCTCCAGCCAA